CGGCCTCCGGAAGAGGCTGCTGCGGGTCGGGAGTCGCGGCTGGCCTGTCGGTGCGTGTTCATACTCCGGGGTCTCCGCCGGGCTCTCGGGGACCGGCGCCTGGATCCGCCCGGGGCGGTTCCTGGGAGCGGAGAGCTCAACTGCACGTTTCCCTTCCCAGCGAGCCTTCTGGGCTCCCCTGGTGACCCCGAGATCCTCCCCGTGACTCCGGGATCTGACTCCACCCGGGGTCTGACTGCTGGGGACCAAAACAGGAGGAAGTTTTTGCTCTTCTTGCTAGGAGCTTCCTTCCAGACAAGAGAGCCATGTTTCCGACTTGATCCAGACTTGGAGGTCCTGGAGGGGTCAGAGGGCAGCCCCCTGGCAGCCCGGCCGCAGGGCGCATCTGGCCGGGCCTCCCTGGACACGCTGCCCTTAGAGAGCTTGTTTGCTTCCAGTATTGTGAAATCCCCTTGGTTTGTTCACAGAAGGTTTTGGTGGTGGCATCTGCCAGGGAATCTGACTTTCTTGTCCTGTATGTGAAAGCAGCCAGAGAGGTACTGGGACCCATGAACATTCCACGGGCACCGGTTCTGGGCGCCTGTTGGAAAGCAAAGCATGTGGAGATGCCAGCAGTCCCTAATGTGGTGGACCTGGAGCACAGGAAGTTCGGGAAGCCTTTGGCCAGTGGCATACTTTGAAGGCCCCACCCCTGCCCTTTTGCTTGTAGTGACAGATTTCCCGCACACCTGTGGCCTTCTGCCAGAAAGAAGGTACTGTGGAGGTCTTTACATGTGAGTCCTAGCCTCAACTTTGGGTCTCACTTAGGAAGTGAACAGTCAGGTGTGGCTACTGTAGCCAGGGTCTGCCCTCTCTCGTTCCTGTTAGGCGTAGTACCCTCAGAGTGTTGTGTGGCAGGGGTTGTTGACGCGACCTGTGGGCAGCCCCTGGGTGTTGTTTGGCCATGGGCGCGCCTCACCAAATCTGGGCTGCCTCTTGGGCCTGTGCTGCACTGCTGGGCAGCAGAGGTTTCCTAGGAAGTTTACTGTGGGTTGAGTAGCTGCTTCCCAGCTCCCTCGCCCCTCCTCCATCCTGCTCTCCGGTTGGTTCCCGAGCTTATAGCTTCACCCTACTCTTTCCTATTCCCTTGCATAGTCCCATGTCATGTCTGGAGGTGCCCTATGCCTGCTCAGGACTCGCAGGATGACTTCCTCCCCCCCAGTCCCTCAGCTGTGGTCATGCTTTGCTCTCCCTTCCTGAAAGCAAGGTCTGTGGAAATGGAGAGGATTCCGTGTGCTCCGATGTAGTGTGGGGTGAATAAGCTTCCTTTTCTGAGTGACTGTGTACACCTTGACCTTCCCGGTGCGGGCTGCAGGGTGGGGGCTGGGAATGGCTGGAGCAGACACAGCACAGCCTTGCAGCCTGCCGCTCAGGCAGAGAGCCAGGCGACCTGGACGCAGCGGCGGGCGCTCCGCGTGGAAGCTGAGGCAGGCTCCCTTCCGGTGGGAGCATGTGCAGGCGCTGCTCCTGCGTGGGACCCGGGAGTGGTCTGGGACACAGCTCTGTGGAGAGGTCCTGGGTGAGGTACCCCCACCTGGGGCCCCACTGCCTCCCTCTGGACACATCTTTCTCACTGACGCTTTTACATGTGTCTTGCATCTTGTCCCTGGTATTTTCCCAAGAGTCCTGATGGTGCTTCAGCCACCCAGTGAAGCCACACCCAGGCTCCCGGGCCGGGAAGTGGGAGGAGAATACTGAAGGCCAGCCCAGGGTTACCCCAAACCCTGCGTCGAGGGCAAGCCCGATGACTCAGGCAGTGTCTTCTCTGTTGGTACTGCCCTTCCCTGTCACCCCAGATCCTGGCATCTCTGTAAAGTTAACACTTCTCCAGCCCCCACCCATGATCCCTGGGTTCTGGGTTCTCCAAGTGGCTCCTGGAGTGACCTTCGGCTTCCCCGCTGCGCTTCCTCCCCACACCTGAGCCTTTTTCTCTGGGACCCATGCTTACTTATCTTCTTAGCAAGTACCATGGTTTGGACTCAGGCCCACAAAATTGTTTGTCTGGCATCTGTGCTTTGCTAGCAGTCTTATCACTTGAGGTATGCCTCCAGCACAGCTTTTTGCCAGTTACTTTGGTGAGGGAGTCTTCTGCCCAGGCTGACTTTGAACCTTGATCCTCTAGGTCTCAGCTTCCCTGCTAGGTAGGCTTATAGGAATGGAACACCAGGCCTCCAGATAGCCAGGCTTGCTGATGGGTCACCTGACCCATGCTAGGTTGGCGACATTTGGTATTTCCTTTTTTGTTGTTGTTGTTGATCATGGGGCTTGAACTCTGGGCCTGGGCGCTGTCCCTGCGCTCTTCAGTTCAAGGCCAGCGCTCTACCACTTGAGCCACAGCACCACTTCCTGGTTTCTGGTGGTTTATTGGAGATAAGAGTCTCACGGACTTTCCTGCCTGGGCTGGCTTTGAACCATGATCCTCAGATCTCAGCCTCTTGAGTAGCTAGGATTACAGGGCTGAGCCCCTGGCACCCAGCTGTCTCTCAGTTCTTTTTTTTTTTTTGGTCCAGTCGTGGGGCCTGAACTCTGGGACTGGGCGCCGTCCCTCAGCTCTTCAGCTCAAGGCTAGCTCTCTACCACTTGAGCCATAGCACCACTTCCAGCTTTTTTTTTCTGCTTATGTGGTGCTGAGGAATCGAACCCAGGGCCTCATGCATGCAAGGCAAGCGCTCTACCACTGAGCCACCTTCCCAGCCCCATGTCTCTCAGTTCTTCAGCACAAGGTGAGTGCTCTACCATTCAAGCCACACTGCCACTTTCTGGTGGTTGAGTGGAGATGAGAGTCTCATGGACGATACTACCTGGGCTAGCTTTAAACCTTGATCCTCGGAGGGAGCTAGGATTACAGGCGTGAGCCACTGGTGGCGCCTGCTGGCATTTCCCTTCTGATATTCTATTGCCCCACTTGTTCTTTGGTCCTCTCTTTTTTGGGGGGTGGGAACAGGGTCAGGGTCTTGGCCTCAGCCTCCAGAATGCTGGGATTACAGGTATGTGTCACACGCTTGGCCTTTCTCCTGCGTGCTGGCAGCTGGGGGCAGCAAGGCTCCCTGGCAGATCCTTGGCTTGCCCCTGGAGGCTCTCTAGGGAGTTCCTGGTCCTGTCCAGGCCTCTCCCCCTCTGCCCCTCGGCCCCTCGGCCTCCACGGGAAGGGAACCATTAGGGTGTCTCACCGGGACAGCCCCTGGATGATCGGCTGCCTCAGTGACCCAGCAGTGGTCCAGGCCTAACCCATGCTGCATCCTGGGAGCAGGTTTAGGCCTGCTGTCTCTTGACTCCTGATTTTCTTCCCTGTGTAGCCCAGGGCCGGCTTCGTGTTGCTGCATCCCAGCCCCGCCTCACTGTCCCCAGGGGGAAGAGTATTGCTAGCAGAGCCCTGGTAGACTCTTGCGGTCCTGGGCATGGCCGCCGTGCCCTTGTGCTCACCCTCGTCCAACTGCTTGCTCTGCCCCAGGCCCGCTGCAGTGCCGTCATCTGCCCACCCTGTGCGGGGCCGCTCTTCCTGCTGCCCACCTTGCAGCGGCCGCAGAGCCAGGCTGAGGTCTCTGTTACTGTCCTAAGCCTTTTCTTGCTTCCAGTCCTACTGTGTACCCGTGTGGACCACCTGCGCCGGGCTGCTCAGGAGGGCTAACACCCCGGGCTCTGCCGCAGGTGCCGTGGCGCGGCGCCCGGCCCGCGGCCTCGGGAAGGAGCAGGCCTGGCTCCCTGGTTCTAGCACCGCAGTTCTCGTCTCCCTTCCCCAGGCCCTGCATGAGGGGCGTGCACCCCAGGCCGCTTGCGGGTTCTTTGTCTCTGCTCGCGGCCTCGGCTGGCCTCGGGCTGCAGGTCATCATGGCTGCCATGGGGTGAGGGGTGGTGAGGAGAGCGGACTGATGCTCAGCACAGCCTGGCGCCTCCTGAACACAGGTGTCCTCGGGAGAGCGCCGTGGAGGAGGCTGCCGGGGTGCTCACGTCCCCCAAGCAGATGGACGACTCCACTGCAGCTCACGACGCACCAGGCTGGGTCTGAGGAGGCTGCTGGGAGCCGGCCCCGGCGCGGTGGTGGGGATGGGGGCGTCCCTGGCACGGCTTCCTCTGGGGAAGGAGGTTGTTCCTGCGCTGCAGCGTCTGTTTGGCAGCCTTGCGCAGTTTGCTGGGCTTGCTCTTTTAGCCACTGTGAAGGGGAGCTGGGCTGCTAGAGCTGCTGCCCCAGAGGAGGACTAGACGTGTGAGGCCTGTGGGTCTTCCTGCAGGGACGGGGGGGGGGGGGATGAGCGCCGCGTCCTGCCAGCATCCTCCCTGGTTCACAGCCGCAGCCGCCCAGGAGGGCAGGTGACAGAAGGGGCCAGCACAGAACCCAGACATTCTGCTCCTATTGGGGCCTGGGGACGAGCTGCCCAGAGGCAGAGGGGACACAGGACAGTTAGGCAGTGATGTTCCTGCCCGGCCAGAGGAGACCAGGGGAGATGAGGAAGGGCGGCCGGGTCCCTGGCCCGCCATCCCACCACCGGGCTGCTGGCTCCCTCTCCAGACCCCCCAGAGGGAGGCCACTGCGGTCGCCACACGGCCAGGGGTGTGAGGTGCGTGTGGCCATGCACGAGCGTGGCACTCGCTCTTTTCCCGGCCTGCCCGGAGCTGCCCCAAGGGCATGTCCATTCTGGTCCCAAACACGGCTCAGCTCAACCTAAGCTGGTGACCTGTCTCAGGGTATGGCCGCAGAGCTGTCCCAGAGCCAGCTGGCCCCGGCCGTGCCCGGTGAGGGGCTGGAGGAGATGAGGGGCGGTGGTGAGGTCCTCAGTTGCAGGGCTTCTTGGAGAAAAGGGCAACCTGTTGGAGCTCCAGGTCATCCGTCTGGGGTGGGGCAGGACAGCAGCCCAACCCTAAGGGACAGGGGAGGGGTGCTTTGGCAGCCAGGCTGCAGCAGGAGCTGGAGACCCCTGGGGTCCTCCACAGCCCAGTCACTGGCATGAACTGCATGACCAGGGCTGGCGTGGTTGGCTGGAGGCGCCAGGCCTGTGGAAGCCCCAGAGGGGTGCTGGCGGGGCTCGCCAGGCCTCGTGCAGGTCACCTGATGCGTGCTAAGTTGGCAGCACAAGCTCTGTAGCTGCCTTTGGAGCATGCCCCCCCCCCAAAAAAAAGCTGTTTGGTGCTCAGCCCCTTTCCCCCTTTGATTCTGGAGCCATGGGTGACTGCAAGACCTGCAGGAGCATGGCTGCCCCCTGTGGAGACTTGGGATGGAGTCTGTGCCAACAGTTCTTTTGTAGAGAGGAGAGGAAGCCTAGGCTGGCTGCTGCCGTTTGGGGCCCGGAGCCCTCTTTTGTGCCCCTGCCACCCTGCCAAGCCCGCTGCTGTGTGTCTCCAGGTGGTCTTTGGGAAGAAGCTTCCTGCCTTTGCCACAATCCCCATCCACCAGCTGCAGCACGAGAAGAAATATGACATCTACTTTGCAGATGGAAAGGTGTTTGCATTGTACAGGTGGGTGAACCCAGCCTGGGGGGTCTGCAGCGGCCATGAGTGTGTGTGCCCTCCGTGGGGACGGCGTGCCTGCCCCGACGGGCCATGTGCCCCGGGCTGGACTGTCCTGAGCCCTGAGTGCTGCCCTCCCCGAGGCCGCCGTGGAGGTGGGTCGCCTCTGCTGTGCGGGCTGTGTGAGGGCGGGAGAGGACAGGCGAGGCGGTGATTGCCCTGAGCTCCCAGCACCGGGGAGAGTTGTGAAAAGGGCCCCTCGTGGGCCTGGGGCTCCGCATGACGCTGAATGTGTGCCTTTGGGGGCTGTGCTGTCTCCCCAGGCAGCTGCTGCAGCACGAGTGCCCGCGGTGTCCCCAGCTGCTGCCCTTCGGCCTCTTCGGAGACCTGGAGCAGCACATGCGGAAGCAGCACGAGCTCTTCTGCTGCAAGCTGTGCCTCAAGCACCTCAAGGTGTGCCTTTGCTCGCTCAGGTGGGCCTGGCACCCCGGCACGCAGGCTGCCCGTGACCAGGCCGGGGGGGGGGGTTCCCAGGAGCCCCCAGCCCATGCCCACCCCCACATTCTCCGCAGATTTTCACCTACGAGCGCAAGTGGTACTCGCGCAAGGACCTGGCCCGGCACCGCATGCAGGGGGACCCGGACGACACGTCCCACCGGGGCCACCCGCTGTGCAAGTTCTGTGACGAGCGCTACCTGGACAACGACGAGCTGCTCAAGCACCTGCGCCGCGACCACTACTTCTGCCACTTCTGCGACGCGGACGGGGCGCAGGACTACTACAGGTGGGCGGGGCGGGCGGGGCGCAGGACTGCTACAGGTGGGCGGGGC